GTCACAATAGATAGCGGTCACAGCATATAGTGATAGCGGTCACAGTATATAGCAAAAAATGGTTAGCGGTCACAGTATATAGCGATAGCGGTCACAGTATATAGCAAAAAATGGTTAGCGGTCACAGTATATAGCAAAAAATGGTTAGCGGTCACAGTATATAGCAAAAAATGGTTAGCGGTCACAGTATATAGCAAAAAATGGTTAGCGCGCGATGGTCGCGACTCGTCAGCATATAGCGATAGCGGTCACAGTATATAGCGATAGCGGTCACAGTATATAGCGATAGCGGTCACAGTATATAGCGATAGCGGTCACAGTATATAGCGATAGCGGTCACAGTATATAGCGATAGCGGTCACAGTATATAGCGATAGCGGTCACAGTATATAGCGATAGCGGTCACAGCATAGAGTAGTCTCGACGTCTGTCCCCTTCAAACCAGGCTGCAAAACTCCATCAACTCACAACCTTTTTGGGGATTGGCATGCTCCATCGCAGAGCCCCTCCGATCTGAAGGCCGCACCGGGGCCTAGGGCGCCAAACCTCCTCCCAATAAATACTCAAAAGCTTCTTGTTTCACGTCTCTCCAAATTGAAATGCAGCCAGCGTAAGTTCAATTTGGTAGACGTCAGCCAAAGGTAACCCCTCCAGGCCGGTTCTCATCCCCAGCCTATCGCACAGCAAACGCCCCCTTCCAATCACCGGTCCAGCCAGGCAAGCTGCTTAAAAGCGGAGGAACTCCCACTCTCGGCCTCTTGAAGCTGCAGCCACCGCCTCCCCTCCTCCTCCTCTTCACCCTGCTTCATTCTGCCTTCAATCTGCTTCCCGCTGCCAAATGCCGCCACCAGTGCTTAGGTCCCGGGGGATTGGCATGCTCCATCGCAGAGCCCCTCCGATCTGAAGGCCGCACCGGGGCCTAGGGCGCCAAACCTCCTCCCAATAAATACTCAAAAGCTTCTTGTTTCACGTCTCTCCAAATTGAAATGGTCTGAGCTCAGAATTTTACAAATTATTCTCCACTGATCTTGCTCCATTCTTATATGAAGTCTTTGTAGAAAGTCTCAATAAGGAACAACTCCCAACAACTATGACTCAAGGTTTGACAACGTTGATCCAAAATCAAACAAAGACACCACTCTGATCGATAATTGGCGTCCGATATCCTTACTAAATAATGATTACAAGATTTTTGCCTCAATTGTTGCTAAAAGGCTGAAGAAGGTATTAAACTCAATTATTGAAGAAACTCAGTCAGGATTTATGACAAAAAGACATATAACAAATAATATTAGGCTGGTTATGGATTTTCTTGATTATTCTGAATTGCTGGATGACAATGGCTTTATTTTGTTCCTTGACTTCTACAAGGCGTTCGATACAGTGGAGCATCAGTTTATTTTACAAGCGATGGGAAAATTTGGTTTTGGTAATTATTTTGTATCTGCCATAAAAACCCTGTACACAAATGGTAACAGTTCCATCAAACTCTCTGGTGGCACATCCCCGAGATTCAATCGTGGTATAAGACAAGGATACCCAACGAGCCCTTACCTCTTCTTAATTGTGGCACAGCTTTTGGCGTATCATATCAGAGCCAAGGCTGTAGAGGGAATCTCTCTCTTAGGTAAAGAAATACTCATAACACAATTAGCAGATGATACTACATTATTCTTGAAAAACGAGAGTCAAATCTTTGTAGCCATCAATGTAATTCAGGAGTTTTCAGAGGCGTCTGGTTTGTGTCTGAATTTAAAAAAATCAGTAAGGACCAAAGCAAAAGAAGCACTTCTAATTTTAACCCAATCATACAAAAAACACAGAGAAAATTAAATCAGTGGCTCTTGAGGGATCTGTCATTAAGAGGGAGAGTCCTCCTCACTAAGGCAGAGGGAATCTCGCGACTAACTTATGCAGCCTTAGCTCTGCATCTTGGTGACAAGACCCTCAGGGAAATTGATAGAATTCTATTTGACTTTGTATGGAAAGGTAAAACCCACTATATGAGAAAAGCGGTTGTTATGAATCCTTATGAAAGCGGGGGGCTTAACTTCTTAGATTTTCAAACTCTAAATAACACATTTAAAATTAATTGGATAAAACAAATCTTTAAAAACCCCACTTCAGTTTGGAATATTATTCCCTACCATTTATTATCCAAACTAGGTGGCATTAACTTTTTTCTTACATGTAATTTCGATATTGATAAAATTCCTGTGAAGATGGCTTTCCATCGTCAGGCTTTTCTTTCATGGTCTCTCATCTACAAACACAATTTTTCTCCTCACAACTACTTAATATGGAACAACAAAGACATTTTATATAAACGTAAATCTCTCTTTTTGGAATACTGGTTTCAAAACAACATCAACTGGGTTGATCAACTTTTTAACGAGGAAGGGTTATTGCTTACATATAATGAATTTCTTAGAAAATACACTATCCCTGTTTCTCCAGGTGATTATGCAAAGGTTTTTGGAGCCATCCCTACCGGTGTATGCATGTTATTCAAAAGTCAGTGCAGGCTTGACGCTCAAAAACTATCTCTTCTATTACCTAAGGATACACTTGCAGGGAGGGTTTGTCTAGTCCAGTGTCTCCCAAAGTATCGTGCTATAAGAACCATGTTCCAAAGAGAAATAACAACAATACCCAATGTCATTTTTCACTGGAGTATGTTTGTGGATGATATACCATGGAAGAAGGTCTGGCTTTTGTCTAATACAGCCATTCCCAAACTCAGTAACACCGAGGCCCCCTTAAAAATCTGACGGGTCTGCGTGGCCCCCCAAAATAATAACCAAGAAGACAACATTAAGAATAGGCTCTTCTGGTTATTTTATTTTGGGGAAATAGCCTCTGCTACAAACATTGTAATACAAAAATGATTACAGTGGATTATTCAAGTCAAATAATGAACACAAATATTTTAATATTACAAACAAAACATTATAAATTTAACATTAAATAATTATATTATTTTTTTTATGACCTCCCGCGGCCCCCCTGCAGTACCCACGCGGCCCACCAGGGGGCCGCGGACCCCACTTTGGGAGACACTGGTCTAATAGATATTTAGTAACAAACAAAGTAAAAGAAGTATCCTTCAAACTTATTCATAAGTTTTATCCTTCAAAATGTTACATTAAAAACAGATTTAAGAAAGAAATTGATATTGACTGTAGTTTTTGTAAAGAATATCCTGAAACCATTGTGCATCTTTTCTGGTACTGTCCAAGTGTTGCATTATTTTGGCAGAAATTCTGTGACTTTATTCATGAAAATATTGAAACGCATTTTGTTCTACATTGGAAGAATGTATTGTTTGGTTTGTTTGAATCTAACTCACAAAACAGTAACGCTATTTACTTAATTAATCTTTTATTACTGATGTCAAAGTATCATATTCATTCATGTAAATTTTCCGGGAAAAGGCCGTGTTTCTCTGCCTTTTATAACGGCTTCAAACAATACATTCTCTCAATTAAATTTTCTGAAAAACAGAAGGCAATTAAGACTGTTGAGTGCTGTACAGCGTTGAATGTCTTCATTTAAATATTGACCCCCCCTAGCGTTAGATTATGCTTGTTTTTTTTTTTTCTTTGTTATTTATTTTTCTTTTTTTCTTCTTTGCTCTCCTATCCTCTCTATTTTTTCTCCCTATCTTGTTTTTGTTTTTTGTTTTGTTTTTCTCTTTTACAATTTTAATTTTGCACTGATCCAGTCCATTATTTTAATGTCTACTGGTAATTTTTCATGTGCAAATACGGTTAATTGTTGATTACTGTACCTGTTTCAATGATTGTTATCACTGTCAACATTGGTTTAATAAAAAAAAAAATAAAAAAAAATAATTGAAACCACTGGAACTTGAGAGAAACTTAGATAAACTTCCAGAGTTTGGCGCACCACGATCCGTCTCTGTCTGCTTCATTCCTGACAAAATCAGTTTTTGGTAAGTCCTCTGAGATGACTCCAGTTGTGATTTAGGGCTATACGAGAATAAATTGTATAGGTGTTTTTTATTTTTATTTTTCTGCAACAAGTGGTACAGCACCCAAACTCTGAAAGAGCGACACTTAGGTGTGTGTGTGTGTGATAGCCTTATCATGTGGCCCTGAGTGTTGCACTAAAACAATTGCTTGCTTGCAATCACGTGACGCATCAACTTCCGGTTAGCGAACTGGTGGGCAAGCCAGCACTATGTCCGCTCGTTTGCGAAGAAAATGCGACTCTTCTCACGACTATTTTCGTGGTTTGGATTCTGTTTCTCGAGATCGATACATCGAAAAACTCAAACTGTGTAATGGTATAGACCCTTATACGTTATCCAAGAACGATTTTAGTTACGAGTTGGAAAAATACCCACCGGTGCAGTTCCCGGACATCTCCAACTATCTTGTGTTGCAGTCAAGCTTTTGCACTGCTCAACAAATGAAGGCTTGGAAAAGCATGGATGCCTACAACTTTTTCGTCTGTGGGTGGGTTAAGGAAGTCGGAGTTAAGGTCCTCACAGACAAATCCTGCATCGTAAAGAGCCGTGTAAGTAACGATTGGTTTATGAGCGTGTGTTTGCTATCATGACGTGTACCGTGTTGTTTTCAGGCCAAGCATTCGCAGTGCTCATCTAAAGCGCCAACTCATACCTGGTTATTGATAAAAGAAGATGGGGATGTTACAACTGCGCATTGTGACTGCATGGCTGGGTGAATAAATAAATCTCCTATGTAAAAACGTTTACTAGTGGCGATGTATACATGCTAGCTAGTTAAGGCTAAGCATAATTCAGTTCGTGCACATGAAGATGGCAAACGGAATGTATTGCTGTCGTGACTATCTTGGTCATTTGCTGATTCTAATGCTTTTGACGTTATGTGACATCCCTTTGAAATAGCTTGGCTGAGTCGTGCTCCCATGTTGGCGCTGTTCTGTACGCGCTGGAGACTGGAGTGAGGATGCGTGAATCTGTGGCTTGTACAGATGAGAAGAGCAAGTGGTTGATGCCAACTCATGTCGACAAAGTAAGCAGCTATTATCTTTTTTGGCTTTTAGTATGAACTGTACTCAATAGATTTACACTTTTTTATTGATTGTATTTTATTTCAACTTTATAAACAGGAATCAATTATAGATTTAACAGCAATAATATATAATACATGATAGAAATGTACATACATGTCTTCCAACAGCTTTATGAGCCACAACCTACAATTATGCTTTATCTCCACACAGTACAATATATTTTTCATAAAATCGTCTTGAGCAGAGCACTCAAATTCAATTATTTATTTCTTCATTTATTAGTTTAGCTGTCACACTCGTTGACTTTAAGTAGAGCTGATTATCACCCGTGTGACTGCCTCACTTTACCATTAGACAAAGGTAGCTTTTAGTTTTGTTTTCATAATTTTCATTGATTGAAGGAATTCATTATTTCCCAATGAGACCTTGCTAGAAGAGAAATAGGGGTGTTTTTTATTTTAAATTGATGTAATACTTTCGTAATACGTATTGTCTCTCCATAGATTCCTGTTGCCTCTGTATCAAGGATCGATTTTGCTTCAGCAAGAGCAAAAAAGCAACGATTGGATGATGCCATCTCCTGCTCTACAATTGAACCCAAAAAGAAGCCTGCCAAACCATGTCCAACTGTGGCTAAAGGTTCTGAGACGTACAAGAGATTCTTTGAGGAACTTAGCCAGAACTGCCCAAAAAGTGCTGCACTCATTACAAATGAGGCCTTCTATAAAAAATTCATCCCCAAGTCTGCCACTCCCACGCTCCCAAAGTCAATCATGGACTGTCGTACTGAGGATACAGTCTCATTATCCGATGGTGACATGGACGAGTTGTGCAAGACATTCGCCTTGCCAGCACTTACAGCCTCGCACATAAGTGCAGTTGAGAGGGAGACTCGAAAACAGGCAAGCTCAAGGATTTGGTTCCGTCAAAGGGCCGGTCGCATCACTGCGTCCAAACTGAAGCAAGCTCTCCACACTACAGTTGATAAACCAGCCAAGAGTCTTATCAAGGCTATATGTTATCCAGAGGCAAACAGATTCTCATCATTAGCTACCAGGTATGAGGTAATTTTTTATTCTGTTGAATTTAATTGCAATTTAACCCACTATGGTCCACATCTGCTTATCAATTCAAACCCCTCCATTTATGTTTGATTCAAATGAACTATCATTGCATATTCATATTTTGGGGGTTTGTGCACTTGACAAGCCTTAACAGGGGTGCTTATTGGAATACATTTCAGTAAATAGAAATACATGAACCACAGTTGATTTCATGTCATGAAAATGAATCATATATGTTTACATTCATAGGTATGGGTGCCAGCATGAAGCACAGGCAAGACAGGAGATGAGAACCATGTGGCACTATAGATGCTACGACACTAAGGAAGGAAGAGAGACGAGAACCATGTGGCACTATAGATGCCACGACACTAAGGAAGGAAGGGAGACGAGAACCATGTGGCACTATAGATGCCACCACACTAAGGAAGGAAGAGAGACGAGAACCATGTGGCACTATAGATGCTACGACACTAAGGAAGAGAGACGAGAACCATGTGGCACTATAGATGCCACCACACTAAGGAAGGAAGGGAGACGAGAACCATGTGGCACTATAGATGCCACAACACTAAGGAAGGAAGAGAGACGAGAACCATGTGGCACTATAGATGCTACGACACTAAGGAAGAGAGACGAGAACCATGTGGCACTATAGATGCCACCACACTAAGGAAGGAAGGGAGACGAGAACCATGTGGCACTATAGATGCCACCACACTAAGGAAGGAAGGGAGACGAGAACCATGTAGCACTATAGATGCCACCACACTAAGGAAGGAAGAGAGACGAGAACCATGTGGCACTATAGATGCCACGACACTAAGGAAGGAAGGGAGACGAGAACCATGTGGCACTATAGATGCTACGACACTAAGGAAGGAAGGGAGACGAGACCCATGTGGCACTATAGATGCCACCACACTAAGGAAGGAAGAGAGACGAGAACCATGTGGCACTATAGATGCCACAACACTAAGGAAGGAAGAGAGACGAGAACCATGTGGCACTATAGATGCCACGACACTAAGGAAGGAAGAGAGACGAGAACCATGTGGCACTTTAGATGCCACTACACTAAGGAAGGAAGAGAGACGAGAACCATGTGGCACTATAGATGCCACCACACTAAGGAAGGTAAGTAAGTAAGTAAGTAGTAAGTTTTTATTTATATACCGCCTTTTCACTGCAGATCTGAATCTCAAAGCGGTTTACAATTGTTAATTTTTGGGCATTTGTCTCTCACTCCACACAGAGATGGGAGCGGGGTCTCCAGTACAGGAGGCGCATGCCAGAACTATTGGACATGTTTTTAGTGGTAGGGGAAACCGGAGTACCCGGAGGAAACCTACGCAGACACGGGGAGAACATGCAAACTCCACTCAGAAAGGCCCTGGTCCGACCGGGATTCGAACCCAGGACCTTCTTGCTGAGAGGCGAGAGTGCTATCCACTCAGCCACCGTGCCGCACGGAAGAGAGACGAGAACCATGTGGCACTATAGATGCCACCACACTAAGGAAGGAAGAGAGATGAGAACCATGTGGCACTATAGATGCTACGACACTAAGGAAGGAAGGGAGACGAGAACCATGTGGCACTATAGATGCTACCACACTAAGGAAGGAAGGGAGACGAGAACCTTGTGGCACTATAGATGCCACCACACTAAGGAAGGAAGGGAGACGAGAACCATGTGGCACTATAGATGCCACAACACTAAGGAAGGAAGAGATACGAGAACCATGTGGCACTATAGATGCTACGACACTAAGGAAGAGAGACGAGAACCATGTGGCACTATAGATGCCACGACACTAAGGAAGGAAGGGAGACGAGAACCATGTGGCACTATAGATGCCACAACACTAAGGAAGGAAGAGAGACGAGAACCATGTGGCACTATAGATGCTACGACACTAAGGAAGAGAGACGAGAACCATGTGGCACTATAGATGCCACCACACTAAGGAAGGAAGGGAGACGAGAACCATGTGGCACTATAGATGCTACGAAACTAAGGAAGGAAGGGAGACAAGAACCATGTGGCACTATAGATGCTACCACACTAAGGAAGGAAGGGAGACGAGAACCATATGGCACCATAGATGCTACGACACTAAGGAAGGAAGGGAGACGAGAACCATGTGGCACTATAGATGCCACGACACTAAGGAAGGAAGGGAGACGAGAACCATGTGGCACTATAGATGCCACGACACTAAGGAATGAAGGGAGACGAGAACCATGTGGCACTATAGATGCCACGACACTAAGGAAGGAAGAGAGACGAGAACCATGTGGCACTATAGATGCCACCACACTAAGGAAGGAAGAGAGATGAGAACCATGTGGCACTATAGATGCTACGACACTAAGGAAGGAAGAGAGACGAGAACCATGTGGCACTATAGATGCCACGACACTAAGGAAGGAAGGGAGACGAGAACCATGTGGCACTATAGATGCCACGACACTAAGGAAGGAAGAGAGACGAGAACCATGTGGCACTATAGATGCCACCACACTAAGGAAGGAAGGGAGACGAGAACCATGTAGCACTATAGATGCCACGACACTAAGGAAGGAAGAGAGACGAGAACCATGTGGCACTATAGATGCTACGAAACTAAGGAAGGAAGGGAGACGAGAACCATGTGGCACTATAGATGCTACCACACTAAGGAAGGAAGGGAGACGAGAACCATGTGGCACTATAGATGCCACCACACTAAGGAAGGAAGGGAGACGAGAACCATGTGGCACTATAGATGCCACGACACTAAGGAAGGAAGAGAGACGAGAACCATGTGGCACTATAGATGCTACGACACTAAGGAAGAGAGACGAGAACCATGTGGCACTATAGATGCTACGACACTAAGGAAGGAAGGGAGACGAGAACCATGTGGCACTATAGATGCCACGCCACTAAGGAAGGAAGGGAGACGAGAACCATGTGGCACTATAGATGCTACGACACTAAGGAAGGAAGAGAGACGAGAACCATGTGGCACTATAGATGCTACGACACTAAGGAAGGAAGAGAGACGAGAACCATGTGGCACTATAGATGCTACGACACTAAGGAAGGAAGAGAGACGAGAACCATGTGGCACTATAGATGCCACCACACTAAGGAAGGAAGGGAGACGAGAACCATGTGGCACTATAGATGCCACCACACTAAGGAAGGAAGGGAGACGAGAACCATGTGGCACTATAGATGCCACCACACTAAGGAAGGAAGAGAGACGAGAACCATGTGGCACTATAGATGCCACGACACTAAGGAAGGAAGGGAGACGAGAACCATGTGGCACTATAGATGCTACGACACTAAGGAAGGAAGGGAGACGAGAACCATGTGGCACTATAGATGCCACCACACTAAGGAAGGAAGAGAGACGAGAACCATGTGGCACTATAGATGCCACAACACTAAGGAAGGAAGAGAGACGAGAACCATGTGGCACTATAGATGCCACGACACTAAGGAAGGAAGAGAGACGAGAACCATGTGGCACTTTAGATGCCACTACACTAAGGAAGGAAGAGAGACGAGAACCATGTGGCACTATAGATGCCACCACACTAAGGAAGGAAGAGAGACGAGAACCATGTGGCACTATAGATGCCACCACACTAAGGAAGGAAGAGAGATGAGAACCATGTGGCACTATAGATGCTACGACACTAAGGAAGGAAGGGAGACGAGAACCATGTGGCACTATAGATGCTACCACACTAAGGAAGGAAGGGAGACGAGAACCATGTGGCACTATAGATGCCACCACACTAAGGAAGGAAGGGAGACGAGAACCATGTGGCACTATAGATGCCACAACACTAAGGAAGGAAGAGATACGAGAACCATGTGGCACTATAGATGCTACGACACTATGGAAGAGAGACGAGAACCATGTGGCACTATAGATGCCACGACACTAAGGAAGGAAGGGAGACGAGAACCATGTGGCACTATAGATGCCACAACACTAAGGAAGGAAGAGAGACGAGAACCATGTGGCACTATAGATGCTACGACACTAAGGAAGAAGAGACGAGAACCATGTGGCACTATAGATGCCACCACACTAAGGAAGGAAGGGAGACGAGAACCATGTGGCACTATAGATGCCACAACACTAAGGAAGGAAGAGAGACGAGAACCATGTGGCACTATAGATGCTACGACACTAAGGAAGGAAGGAGACGAGAACCATGTGGCACTATAGATGCCACCACACTAAGGAAGGAAGGGAGACGAAGAACCATGTGGCACTATAGATGCCACCACACTAAGGAAGGAAGGGAGACGAGAACCATGTGGCACTATAGATGCCACCACACAAGGAAGGAAGAGAGACGAGAACCATGTGGCACTATAGATGCCACGACACTAAGGAAGGAAGGGAGACGAGAACCATGTGGCACTATAGATGCACGACACTAAGGAAGGAAGGGAGACGAGAACCATGTGGCACTATAGATGCCACCACACTAAGGAAGGAAGAGAGACGAGAACCATGTGGCACTATAGATGCCACACACTAAGGAAGGAAGAGAGACGAGAACCATGTGGCACTATAGATGCCACGACACTAAGGAAGGAAGAGAGACGAGAACCATGTGGCACTATAGATGCCACCACACTAAGGAAGGAAGAGAGACGAGAACCATGTGGCACTATAGATGCCACCACACTAAGGAAGGAAGAGAGACGAGAACCATGTGGCACTATAGATGCCACCACACTAAGGAAGGAAGAGAGACGAGAACCATGTGGCACTATAGATGCTACGACACTAAGGAAGGAAGGGAGACGAGAACCATGTGGCACTATAGATGCTACCACACAAGGAAGGAAGGGAGACGAGAACCATGTGGCACTATAGATGCCACCACACTAAGGAAGGAAGGGAGACGAGAACCATGTGGCACTATAGATGCCACGACACTAAGGAAGGAAGGGAGACGAGAACCATGTGGCACTATAGATGCCACGACACTAAGGAAGGAAGGGAGACGAGAACCATGTGGCACTATAGATGCCACGACACTAAGGAAGGAAGGGAGACGAGAACCATGTGGCACTATAGATGCCACGACACTAAGGAAGGAAGGGAGACGAGAACCATGTGGCACTATAGATGCCACACACTAAGGAAGGAAGAGAGACGAGAACCATGTGGCACTATAGATGCTACGACACTAAGGAAGGAAGGAGACGAGAACCATGTGGCACTATAGATGCCACCACACTAAGGAAGGAAGGGAGAGAGAGAACCATGTGGCACTATAGATGCCACGACACTAAGGAAGGAAGAGAGACGAGAACCATGTGGCACTATAGATGCTACGACACTAAGGAAGGAAGAGAGACGAGAACCATGTGGCACTATAGATGCTACGACACTAAGGAAGGAAGGGAGACGAGAACCATGTGGCACTATAGATGCCACGACACTAAGGAAGGAAGGGAGACGAGAACCATGTGGCACTATAGATGCTACGACACTAAGGAAGGAAGAGAGACGAGAACCATGTGGCACTATAGATGCCACCACACTAAGGAAGGAAGAGAGACGAGAACCATGTGGCACTATAGATGCCACGACACTAAGGAAGGAAGGGAGACGAGAACCATGTGGCACTATAGATGCTACGACACTAAGGAAGGAAGGGAGACGAGAACCATGTGGCACTATAGATGCCACCACACTAAGGAAGGAAGAGAGACGAGAACCATGTGGCACTATAGATGCCACGACACTAAGGAAGGAAGAGAGACGAGAACCATGTGGCACTATAGATGCCACGACACTAAGGAAGGAAGAGAGACGAGAACCATGTGGCACTATAGATGCCACCACACTTCTGTGGAACCAGGTGTGCAAGAAGGAGGGTAAAGAGACAGGAGAGTGACGCTGTACAGCAGATACCATAAACATAACGGCAGAACAGAGTCCACAAGAAGGAGGAAGGAAACCTGTTTGGAACTAAATAATGTTCAGTATTTAACCATGTTACATTGTTCTGTATCAAAAATAAACCTAAGATACACTGCAAAAAGTGTTAAGTAATACATCTAAAAATGCTCAAATTTGTCAAAATGTGTCTTTGCATTTTACAGACCAAAGCGCTTTACAATGTTCAGAGTTCAGATATTGTTCCATTCTCTCCACACGGTGAAGCGAGACCTGAACACACTGGTCCATCAAAGCCTCCGACCAAACACCCTCCGTTCACTCATTCACTCATTCCATTCAGACATGGTACATGGTTTTGGTTGGAAGGGGAAACCGGAGCACTCGGAGGAAACCTATGCGGACATGGGAAGAACATGCAAACTCCACTCAGAGAGGCCCTGTTCCGACCGGGAATCGAACCCAAGACCTTCTTGCTGAGAAGTGAGTGTGCTAACCACGCTAACCAGGAAAGGTGGCTGAGTATAACAAGAACCAGAAGGAACCGTATTATAAAATAAATGTGTAACATGGGTAAAAACTACAAAAGTGGTTAAACACAGCCTCAGGTCACACACTCTCCACAGCGGGTCAGAGCGGAGCAGGAGCCACAGTGAGTGAGATGGAAGGCCTCACCTATAGACTCGCCCCGGGACAGGTGAGCGATGGGGGAGGCACAGGGGTGGTAGCGCCCTCCACTGGCCTGGGGGTGGTACAGGTAGGTGCGCGTGGGCGAGGCCAGGCTGTGGTAGTGCTGAGGCTGGAGCGAGTCCAGGGAGTGGATGGGGTGAGCTGAGATGACCGCTGCGTACGACACATGAAGCAATGACACACAATGACACACAATGACACACAATGACACACAATGACATACAATGAGACACAATGACACACAATGACACACACAATGACACACAATGACACACAATGACACACAATGACACACAATGACACACAATGAGACACACAATGACACACAATCACACATAATGAGACACAATGACACACAATGACACAGAATGACACACAATGAGACGCAATGACACACAATGACACACAATGAGACGCAATGACACACAATGACACACAATGACACACAATGAGACGCAATGACACACAATGACACACAATGAGACGCAATGACACACAATGACACACAATGACACACAATGACACGCAATGACACACAATGACACACAATGACACACAATGAGACACAATGACACACAATGAGACACAATAAGACGCAATGAGAGAGAGAGGAGAGAGGAGAGAGAGAAGAGAGAGGGGAGAGAGAGAGAGGAGAGAGAGGAGAGAGAGAGGAGAGAGAGGAGAGAGAGAGGAGAGGGAGGAGAGAGAGAAGAGAGAGAGGAGAGAGAGAGAGAAGAGAGAAGGGAGAGAGGGGAGAGAGAGGAGAGGGAGGAGGAGACAGACGAGAGGGAGGAGAGAGAGAGAGAGAAGAGGGAGGCGAGGAGAGAGAGAGAGGGGAGAGAGAGGAGAGGGAGAAGAGAGAGGAGAGAGGGGAGAGAGAGGAGAGAGAGGGGAGAGAGAGGGGGAGAGAGAGGGGAGAGAGAGAGGAGAGAGAGGGAGAGAGAGGAGAGGGAGGGGGGAGACAGGAGAGACAGGGGAGAGAGAGGAGAGGGAGGGGGGGAGGGAGGGGGAGACAGACGAGAGGGAGAAGAGAGAGAGAGAGAAGAGGGAGGCGAGAGAGAGGGGAGAGAGGAGAGGGAGGGGGGAGACAGAGGAGAGGGAGGAGACAGACAGGAGAGACAGGGGGAGAGAGGAGAGGGAGGGGGGAGACAGAGGAGAGGAAGGAGAGAGAGGGGGAAAGAGAGAGGAGAGGGAGAAGAGAGAGGGGAGAGAGAGAAGAGGGAGGCGAGAGAGAGAGGGGGAGGGGGGAGACAGAGGAGAGGGAGGAGACAGACAGGAGAGAGCGGGAGAGAGGGATGAGAGAGAGAGAGGAGAGGGAGGGGAGAGAGAGAGGAGAGAGGGAAAAGAGAGGAGAGGGAGGGGGGAGACAGAGGAGAGGGAGGAGAGAGAGAGGAAGAGAGGAGAGGCACAAGCATGGGATGTCCACAGATGACACTTTCCTCTCGTATAAGACCCTCGTCCCACTCCTCACCCTCTGCACAGGAGCTGCCCTGGTCTCCCCCTCCCTCCCCCTCTCTCCCCCTCCCTCCCACACACACTTACGCTGAGGCGGCTGGGCATCAAACGGCATCATCATTTTAGGCCTCATCCCGCGGCGGCCTCCCAGAGTCGACATGCCGTCCTCAGACTCGAGCCCTAAAACGCAGGCTCAGCTTTAATTCAAATTCAGCCGATTTTAAATGTTTTGGAAAAGGACTTTTTATTCAATAGTTTAAGGAGAGTGAGTGAAGCAGACGATGAGAGGCATGAAGAAGCAACACTCAAACAAACGACGTTTGGACGTTCATTTAAGACACACATTAGCCTCCTGCAGCTCGGGAGACACCAGTAGCATTAGCTCTCCCTGTAGCTCCCAAAGGATTTAGAATTGACATTATACAGCTATAGCAATGCCTGTTTTGTGTGTGTGTGCGTGTGTGCGTGCATGTGTGTGTGTGCGTGAGTGCGTGCATGTGTGTGTGCGTGTGTGTGTGTGCGTGTGTGTGTGTGTGTGTGTGTGTGTGTGTGGAAAGACTGCAGAAAAAAATACCTTGCACGATTGAAATCAGACATGTGGTCAAATCTGAATTAAGACACATGTGGAAGAAGGAGCAGGGCCCTTTACCCCACCGCTGTCAGACTGTACAATGAGTCACTAACACTATTAAAGAGCCCTAATCTGTCATCATTAAAGAGCCCTAATCTGTCATCATTAAAGAGCCCTAATCTGTCATCATTTAAGGGCCCTAATCTATCATCATTAAAGGTCCTGTCCGCGTATGGTTCTGTCTATGGTCCTGTCCTCGTATGGTTCTGTCTATGGTCCTGTCCGCGTATGGTTCTGTCTATGGTCCTGTCCGAGTGTCTATGGTCCTGTCCGCGTATGGTTCTGTCTATGGTCCTGTCGCCGTATGGTTCTGTCTATGGTCCTGTCGCCGTATGGTTCTGTCTATGGTCCTGTCCGCGTATGGTTCTGTCTATGGTCCTGTCCGCGTATGGTTCTTTCTATGGTCCTGTCCGAGTGTCTATGGTCCTGTCCGCGTATGGTTCTGTCTATGGTCCTGTCCGCGTATGGTTCTGTTCTATGGTCCTGTCCGCGTATGGTTCTGTCTATGGTCCTGTCTGAGTGTCTATGGTCCTGTCCGCGTACTCACTGTACAGTCTGACACCGCGTATGGTTCTGTCTATGGTCCTGTCCGAGTGTCTGTACTCACTGTACAGTCTATGGTCCTGTCGCCGTATGGTTCTGTCTATGGTCCTGTCGCCGTATGGTTCTGTCTATGGTCCTGTCGCGTATGGTTCTGTCTATGGTCCTGTCGCCGTATGGTTCTGTCTATGGTCCTGACACCTGTACTCACTGTACAGTCTGACACCTGTACTCACTGTACAGTCTGACACTCTGTACTCACAGTACTCACTGTACAGTCTGACACCTGTACTCACTGTACAGTCTGACACTCTGTACTCACTGTACAGTCTGACACCTGTACTCACTGTACAGTCTGATACTCTGTACTCACTGTACAGTCTGACACCTGTACTCACTGTACAGTCTGACACCTGTACTCACTGTACAGTCTGACACCTGTACTCACTGTACAGTCTGACACCTGTACTCACTGTACAGTCGGTACACTGTCACACTCTGTACTCACTGTACAGTCTGACACCTGTACTCACTGTACAGTCTGACACTCTGTACTCACTGTACAGTCTGACACTCTGTACTCACTGTACAGTCTGACACTCTGTACTCACTGTACAGTCTGACACTCTGTACTCACTGTACAGTCTGACACTCTGTACTCACTGTACAGTCTGACACCTGTACTCACTGTACAGTCTGACACTCTGTACTCACTGTACAGTCTGACACTCTGTACTCACTGTACAGTCTGACACCTGTACTCACTGTACAGTCTGACACCTGTGTCATACTCGCTGTCCAGTGGGTCTTGGTCCAAAAGTGGTTCTTGGTCCTCTTGGTATTTTTTTGGACCAGTCTAGTTTAGTCGCTGTGGACTTTTGAAAGCACTTGTTAGATAAGAATTCCTTTATTCGTCCCACAGTGGGGAAATTTCGATGTTGCAGCGCACAGACAGGACAGTAGTAAGAGCACACAGGGAGCACACAGTATATGGGCTTGTTCACACTAAAGGGCACAAAAGTGTGACAAAAGGCCAAAAATTAGATTTTAATAATCAGAAGATTTTTTATGTTTTTCATGTTTCCAAGCACCTCCTCTGTCCATTAGAAGTTGCAAGAACATAACTGTTTTATACATTTGACAAGTTTCCTACAGCGGCCCTGTTTATTTTATCTAACGGACGTGATGATTTGACGGAATGAGCTTTGTGGAAGTTTGATAGGTATTTTCAGATCCACATTTGATTCAGAGATTCTATTTTTTTACACAAAGTAGATGCAAAGTGATATTTTCATATTGTCAAGCAATTAAATGTGAAAACAGACAAGATTTTTTTTTTTCTCAAGTTTAATTTTTAGAGAAAAGGGGACCGTCCTCATCACGTCCGTTATACATTTTTCAGGGGTCATTTAATTAATTTTAATTTTTTACGATTCCTTTTTATATCAAGTGATTTCCTTCTGTTGTGTTAACCATGTAAATCTGTGGGATTTCATCTTCTGCTTTTTCAGACTGAGGACATTTTATTTCCTATGTAACCGGCGTCACAGTAGAATGGTCCAATCAGAGACTCATTTGGTCGTTTAAAATGTTGCTAAACATTTTTATGTCAATCTTTCCTTTTGATTTTTTCCACACTATCTTCAATGTGTCTGTGTTTGAAATCTTTTTTCCAATCTATGAAAGTAATTTTAGTTTTTAAGTTATAACCTTTTAAAGTCCAGATACTTCAATTGTCACTTTACTGTGAACACACTCATATACAAATAAGTAGTAGCTATGTTTCTTAGCTAACATAACTAGCTGTAGATGCTGGAAATGCTTCAATACCAGTCAAAATATATATATGTAGTAGTGCAGTTATATACTGTACAGTTAAATAGTGCAGGATAAAAAGTATATAAGTAAAGTGACATGAGGTAAAGAGACATTGTTCTGTGACATTCTGAAGTTGCAGTATTGCACATTGCACATGATTTAAGAATGTACTTAATTACAGATGAATGAAATGTACAGACTCAGCAGTTCTTATTGTACAGTCTGACAGCAGCAGGAAGGAAAGACCTACAGAACCTCTCCTTCACACATCGAGGGTGAATTAGTCTGTCACTGAAGCTGCTCTCCAGAGCAGAGAGAGTGTCCTGCAGGGGGCGACAGTCATGGTCCAGCATAGATGTTAGTTTGCTCAGGACCCTCCTGTCCCCCACCTGCTGCACTGTGTCCAGGGAACAGCCCAGGACTGAGCTGGACTTCCTGATGTTCCAGCTTCTTCCTGTCCCTCTCTGTGATGCTGCTGCTCCAGCAGACCACACCGTACAAGAGGCTGATGCCACCACAGAGTCATAGAAGGTCTTTCAGGAGTGGCCCCTGCACTCCAAAAGACCTGAGCCTCCTCAGCAGGTAGAGGCGACTCTGGCCCTTCTTGAAGAGGGCGTCTGTGTTATGAGTCCAGTCCAGTTTGTGGTTCAGATGAACACCCAGGTACGTGTAAGAGTCCACTCTCTCAATGTCCTTTCCCTGGATGTTCACTGGAGCTGGAGCGGCAGAGTGACGTCTACGGAAATCCACCACCATCTCCTTAGTCTTCTGTTGATGAGGAGGTGGTTCTTCTCCTTGGTCTTCCCCGCGTTGATGAGGAGGTGGTTCATCTCCTTGGTCTTCCCCGCGTTGATGAGGAGGTGGTTCATCTCCTTGGTCTTCCCCGCGTTGATGAGGAGGTGGTTCATCTCCTTGGTCTTCCTCACGTTGATGAGGAGGTGGTTCATCTCCTTGGTCTTCCTCACGTTGATGAGGAGGTGGTTCATCTCCTTGGTCTTCCTCACGTTGATGAGGAGGTGGTTCATCTCCTTGGTCTTCCTCACGTTGATGAGGAGGTGGTTCATCTCCTTGGTCTTCCTCACGTTGATGAGGAGGTGGTTCATCTCCTTGGTCTTCCCCGCGTTGATGAGGAGGTGGTTCATCTCCTTGGTCTTCCCCGCGTTGATGAGGAGGTGGTTCATCTCCTTGGTCTTCCCCGCGTTGATGAGGAGGTGGTTCATCTCCTTGGTCTTCCTCACGTTGATGAGGAGGTGGTTCATCTCCTTGGTCTTCCCCGCGTTGATGAGGAGGTGGTTCATCTCCTTGGTCTTCCTCACGTTGATGAGGAGGTGGTTCATCTCCTTGGTCTTCCTCACGTTGATGAGGAGGTGGTTCATCTCCTTGGTCTTCCTCACGTTGATGAGGAGGTGGTTCATCTCCTTGGTCTTCCTCACGTTGATGAGGAGGTGGTTCATCTCCTTGGTCTTCCTCACGTTGATGAGGAGGTGGTTCATCTCCTTGGTCTTCCTCACGTTGATGAGGAGGTGGTTCATCTCCTTGGTCTTCCCCGCGTTGATGAGGAGGTGGTTCATCTCCTTGGTCTTCCCCGCGTTGATGAGGAGGTGGTTCATCTCCTTGGTCTTCCCCGCGTTGATGAGGAGGTGGTTCATCTCCTTGGTCTTCCTCACGTTGATGAGGAGGTGGTTCATCTCCTTGGTCTTCCTCACGTTGATGAGGAGGTGGTTCATCTCCTTGGTCTTCCTCACGTTGATGAGGAGGTGGTTCATCTCCTTGGTCTTCCTCACGTTGATGAGGAGGTGGTTCATCTCCTTGGTCTTCCTCACGTTGATGAGGAGGTGGTTCATCTCCTTGGTCTTCCTCACGTTGATGAGGAGGTGGTTCATCATTTCACATTTTCCCCGCAGCCATTTTGAAGGTAAAAGTGATGTCACATGAGTTTGAACGGAGATAGATGTGACTGTCTTTAGTATTTACAGTCTGTGGTTCGGAGTCAGGGCCATTCGGTGATAGCCGTTTGTCGTCCTCTGCCGGTCCGAGCTGAAAGAGCCTTGCTTGTGCGCATGCGTGAGCCAGATGTAAACAAACATGGCGGCTCACCCCAGCGGGAAGCTCCCTCTGCCCACACTGGTGGTCACCGCGTACACCGCTAAACAGCCCAAGAAGAGCCGCTCTCTGGCGGAGAAGATCGACGCCAAACGAACCAAAGACAAACTTAGAGCCAAGACTCGGATTAATATCGGCTCTGCGCATGCGCCGTGGCGAAAGCTGCGAGACGGACTCGGACTGGCCCTGGACTCTCAGCTGGCGAGACTTCTGCTGGACACGTAACTATTGTTATTACAGTGACTACTGACTTTACAGTAACTGTTGTTATTATACCACAGACATGTGTATGTTCTGCAGAGACGTGGTTAGCCTTCACAGTCTGAGAAGCACTAGCATTAGCATTAGCATTATTATTATTTATTATTATCTCTATTTATCAGACTCGAAGTCCATAAAAAACAAACACACACATCACAAACACAACAGACAAACAGTTATAAAAGAAAACTGTAGCAGAGCTTCCACAGAGCTGACTGGCAGCGCACAGAACTCATACTGGGGTTCACCAGAGACCGCACAAAATAGTTCTCACTGACATTCAGACGCATATAAACCTGTACATCATATTTCTCATGAGAGCATGGAAAGAGTTCACACGACTCTGACAGAACAGCAGACCAGCACTACTGGACCTGGGCTTTTTCAGCAGAATCCTGAAAGCATCATTATATGCAACTTTGAGCTTCGGTAGTGCAGCCTTCTTATATCTGCACCACAGGGGGGCGCTATACAGAGGTACTTTATATACAGTATAATCTGCTCCACAGGGGGGCGCTATACAGAGATACTTTATATACAGTATAATCTGCTCCACAGGGGGGCGCTATACAGAGATACTTTATATACAGTATAATCTGCTCCACAGGGGGGCGCTATACAGAGGTACTTTATATACAGTATAATCTGCTCCACAGGGGGGCGCTATACAGAGGTACTTTATATACAGTATAATCTGCTCCACAGGGGGGCGCTATACAGAGGTACTTTATATACAGTATAATCTGCTCCACAGGGGGGCGCTATACAGAGGTACTTTATATACAGTATAATCTGCTCCACAGGGGGGCGCTATACAGAGGTACTTTATATACAGTATAATCTGCTCCACAGGGGGGCGCTATACAGAGGTACTTTATATACAGTATAATCTGCACCACAGGGGGGCGCTATACAGAGGTACTTTATATACAGTATAATCTGCTCCACAGTGGAGCTGTATACAGAGGTACTTTATATACAGTATAATCTGCTCCACAGGGGGGCGCTATACAGAGGTACTTTATATACAGTATAATCTGCTCCACAGGGGGGCGCTATACAGAGGTACTTTATATACAGTATAATCTGCACCACAAGGGGGCGCTATACAGAGATACTTTATATACAGTATAATCTGCTCCACAGGGGGGCGCTATACAGAGGTACTTTATATACAGTATAATCTGCTCCACAGGGGGGCGCTATACAGAGGTACTTTATATACAGTATAATCTGCTCCACAGTGGCGCTGTATACAGAGGTACTTTATATACAGTATAATCTGCTCCACAGGGGGGCGCTATACAGAGGTACTTTATATACAGTATAATCTGCTCCACAGGGGGGCGCTATACAGAGGTACTTTATATACAGTATAATCTGCTCCACAGGGGGGCGCTATACAGAGGTACTTTATATACAGTATAATCTGCTCCACAGGGGGGCGCTATACAGAGGTACTTTATATACAGTATAATCTGCTCCACAGTGGCGCTGTATACAGAGGTACTTTATATACAGTATAATCTGCTCCACAGGGGGGCGCTATACAGAGGTACTTTATATACAGTATAATCTGCTCCACAGGGGGGCGCTATACAGAGGTACTTTATATACAGTATAATCTGCTCCACAGGGGGGCGCTATACAGAGGTACTTTATATACAGTATAATCTGCTCCACAGGGGGGCGCTATAGAGAGGTACTTTATATACAGTATAATCTGCACCACAGGGGGGCGCTATACAGAGGTACTTTATATACAGTATAATCTGCTCCACAGTGGAGCTGTATACAGAGGTACTTTATATACAGTATAATCTGCTCCACAGGGGGGCGCTATACAGAGGTACTTTATATACAGTATAATCTGCTCCACAGGGGGGCGCTATACAGAGGTACTTTATATACAGTATAATCTGCTCCACAGGGGGGCGCTATACAGAGGTACTTTATATACAGTATAATCTGCTCCACAGGGGGGCGCTATACAGAGGTACTTTATATACAGTATAATCTGCACCACAGGGGGGCGCTATACAGAGATACTTTATATACAGTATAATCTGCTCCACAGGGGGGCGCTATACAGAGGTACTTTATATACAGTATAATCTGCTCCACAGGGGGGCGCTATACAGAGGTACTTTATATACAGTATAATCTGCTCCACAGGGGGGCGCTATACAGAGGTACTTTATATACAGTATAATCTGCTCCACAGTGGCGCTGTATACAGAGGTACTTTATATACAGTATAATCTGCTCCACAGGGGGGCGCTATACAGAGGTACTTTATATACAGTATAATCTGCTCCACAGGGGGGCGCTATACAGAGGTACTTTATATACAGTATAATCTGCTCCACAGGGGGGCGCTATACAGAGGTACTTTATATACAGTATAATCTGCTCCACAGGGGGGCGCTATACAGAGGTACTTTATATACAGTATAATCTGCTCCACAGTGGAGCTGTATACAGAGGTACTTTATATACAGTATAATCTGCTCCACAGTGGAGCTGTATACAGAGGTACTTTATATACAGTATAATCTGCACCACAGGGGGGCGCTATACAGAGGTACTTTATATACAGTATAATCTGCTCCACAGTGGAGCTGTATACAGAGGTACTTTATATACAGTATAATCTGCTCCACAGTGGAGCTGTATACAGAGGTACTTTATATACAGTATAATCTGCTCCACAGTGGAGCTGTATACAGAGGTACTTTATATACAGTATAATCTGCTCCACAGTGGAGCTGTATACAGAGGTACTTTATATACAGTATAATCTGCTCCACAGTGGCGCTGTATACAGAGGTACTTTATATACAGTATAATCTGCTCCACAGGGGGGCGCTATACAGAGGTACTTTATATACAGTATAATCTGCTCCACAGTGGAGCTGTATACAGAGGTACTTTATATACAGTATAATCTGCTCCACAGTGGCGCTGTATACAGAGGTACTTTATATACAGTATAATCTGCTCCACAGGGGGGCGCTATACAGAGGTGAACAGTACATTTTAAACAGTTTAATTTTAACATCGACTGTGCACATGTGAAATTTCCGCAGTAAGGTGTTGGCTTGAGCGTACAGTGTACGACACTGGCCATTAATGTCATCATCATCACAGAGTCGGTCAATGTGACCCAAGTATTTAATTTTGCTGCAAACACCCAGCTTTTGACCAGATAAGTAAAAGTCTGGAAAACAAAGATGTTTGTCCCCTTTGGTGCGGCTGATTAGTACAGCGCTCTTTTTGGCATTATATTGAATATCATGCTTGACCCCATAATCAGAGCATACATTCAAAAGCTGCTGATTACTATTTAACCCTCCCCCCCTACCTCCACCAACCCTCCACCCCATCATCATCCATCATACTAATATACCAATTTCCCTCCCCAACCCCCCCCCAAATCCATCCTCCCCCCCCCATCCCTCACCCTCACCATATTCACCCCCCCATCCCTTCTTCACCTATCTTTTATTATCACATATACCATTTATCCTCACAATCCATCCCCCGACCACCACAAACACCAAACCAAAAAACCCCCCAAAACCCCTAATACCCTAACCCCCCTCCCCCCCCCTACCCCTAAAAATACCCTCCCCCTCCCATCCAATTACCCCTTAAATTAATAATCTCCACTCCCTTTCCCCCACTTTATTAACAATAACATCCCCATTCCATATACCCCACTCACTCACACTCATACCCTCCTCACTTTTCCTCCACCATCTACACACAACAAACTCCCACCCATACATCAAACCCCCACACCCCCACCCACCCCCCTAAAAACACACACCTTCATTTACCATTCTTTATCTACACCTACTACCACCTTACCTTACCACTTCTCCATACAAATTCCCACCTACTTTACCCCCTCCCATTAAAATTACACCCTAATTCCCACCTTCACACCCTCACCCTACAAAACCAATCCTCCCCACTTACCAAATCTCATCCCAAATTACCCATTATCCTATACACCTAACCATACCCCCTCAATAACATCCCACTAACCACACACATTAACCCCCCAAATCAACACCAAACCCTCCCCCAAACACAACCATCATAATCACCATACCCACCTCCCCCCTCCCTCTCCTAAACCAACACACCAAATATAAAAACACCTCACACCAACACCACCCATACCAACCAACCCCCCCCCCCCCCCCCCCCCCCACCCCCTATACCTTCCCTCTTACCCAACCTACCCATCCCCACACTCCAACCCATCCCCAAACATTACACCCCCCCCACCATCAACCCACACCTCAACCCTATCAGCACTTTACTGCAACGTGCAGCACTTTACTGTAACGTGCAGCACTTTACTGCAACGTGCAGCACTTTACTGTAACGTGCAGCACTTTACTGTAACGTGCAGCACTTTACTGTAACGTGCAGCACTTTAATGCAACGTGCAGCACTTTACTGCAACGTGCAGCACTTTACTGTAACGTGCAGCACTTTACTGCAACGTGCAGCACTTTACTGCAACGTGCAGCACTTTACTGTAACGTGCAGCACTTTACTGTAACGTGCAGCACTTTACTGTAACGTGCAGCACTTTACTGTAACGTGCAGCACTTTACTGTAACGTGCAGCACTTTACTGTAACGTGCAGCACTTTTACATGTAACGTGCAGCACTTTACTGCAACGTGCAGCACTTTACTGTAACGTGCTGCACTTTACTGTAACGTGCAGCCCTTTACTGTAACGTGCAGCACTTTACTGTAACATGCAGCCCTTTACTGTAACGTGCAGCACTTTACTGTAACGTGCAGCACTTTACTGTAACGTGCAGCACTTTACTGCAACGTGCAGCACTTTACTGTAACGTGCAGCACTTTACTGTAACGTGCAGCACTTTACTGCAGCCTTAAAGCGCTTCATGACCTTTGGCTGAAAAGTGTTGACTTT